AAAGGAAAGGAAAAGGAAAGGAAAGGAAAGGAAAGGAAAGGAAAGGAAAGGAAAGGAAAGGAAAGGAAAGGAAAGGAAAGGAAAGGAAAGGAAAGGAAAGGAAAGGAAAGGAAAAAGCAAAGGAAAGGAAATCTGAATTATCTGCTAGGGGTCCAGTGAATCTCCTGCTGCTTAAACGATAACCTCCGGGTCAGTTTTACTCACCTGCTGTAGCCATGTTTCCAAGGACTCCTTGTCCTCAGGGAACATGCTCATCTACCTGCTGCTCCTGCAGCACTGCCCTCAGCATTTCCCACTTGCTCACATCTATTACCTGTGAAGTCAGTTATTTAACCCTTCATTTGTCTGCATCACTGACTCTCAATTGTAGTAAGTACAGCTGAAGATCATATTTATCAAAGGCTTATGCATATGAGATTCAGCGAACAATTTCATTTGACAGCAATTTAACAGAAGTGACTTGCCTCCCCACAATTAATTAGAAGCAGGTCAGCCATTTAGAAAATTCAGCCCCGCTGAACTTTTTCACAGATTTTACTCTCTTTACCTAAAATAGAGAAAGTGAGGGATGACTCCTGGTTGTAAATGGAAGGGAAGGACGGTGGCAATTTGATGTGCCAAATCACTTTTCAAATGCAGAGAGGGCAATTGCTGTGACTGGGGTTCCTACCAAAGCATCTATGTAGTCTTCTAAAGACAAGAGACTTAGATTTGAGAGCTTGTGGGAACTCAATAGGGATCAATGATCTTTTAAAGTTTTTTATGGTCAAGGTACCATACGCATTCTCTGTGCACATCATCCTGTCATTGCCCAAGTCTCGAGAAATCACTGATGTGGCTGGGATTCTCCCCAGTGTCTGTCTGGGCTTTATCAGAATGCAGGCACTCAGTGGATCTCGGTTTGTCTGACTCATTTCTCAGCTTCCTTCTGACACTCACTTCCCATCTTCCCTTAGGCAATCAGTATTCTGTCCTGTGTGGCACTCTCCTGTTCCTCTTCCACTCCTGACACTTCTAATTATTGAGCTTACCGTTTCTGACGTCCTTTTGTCTAGCCAGACAATGAGCAGCTCCAGAACACTGCCACCTTCCTTGTCACTGTCGCTCCCATGTCTAGCAGTGCCAAGGCAGTCATTGGCTATTTGGCAAAGTTTAGCTTGAATAAAATAATTTGTCACTTTTCTTAATGCATATGCAAATGTGCTTCCATGTAGAAATTGTTTCTGTCCCTTAAAATGAATGAAACTGAAGAGGATCTGTTCTGGTTTCTAGACAGCACCAACTTCATTCCACAGAATATTTTAATATCCTGTGGAATGTTAGGGAATGTTAGGGAAGGTTTTGGTTAAGCCAATGAAATAAATTGTCAAATTATCATCCCAGAAAGATCAACTATGATGATTACTAATGGCACTGACTAAGCCAAGGACTGAGCTCCTCCCCCTGCTGCTGCTGCTGCTCTTCCTCCTGCTGCTCCTCCTCCTGCTCCTCTTCCTTCTCCTCTTCCTGCTCCTCCTCCTACTCTTTCTGTGTCTCCATCTCCTTTTTTTCTTGTTTTGATGCACTGGGATTGAACTTAGGACCTCATATATCCTAAGAATGTACTCCCCACTGAACTACACTCCCTGCCCATTTTGATGTTTGTGGGGTTCTGTTGTTGTTGTTGTTGTTGTTGTTGTTTTTAAGAGTGTCTAAGTTACCCAGTTTAAATTCACTCTGTAGTGCAGTATAGACTGAAGTTCTATGATTTTTGGCCTGTGTCATCAGGCCCTGCTTCTTTTTTGTTTGTTTTTTCTTATTGATTTATTTTGATATCCCCAAATAACAGTCCAAACTTTCATAATGGAGACACTATCTCCAGGTCAAAGGGGTTTTAGAACATGCGCAGCCCTTCAATTGGTGCTTATATCCCTCATAAGAAGCATGCTTCCAGAGCAATGCATTCCACTCGGTAAGCACACGAAATCACACAGACCTGCAACCTCTTCCACCAATCAATCATGGGACCTACTGACCACTGAGGCTGGTCAAATCCTTCTTACAAATATTTGAAGAGAGCTGCCATAGTTGAATAAACATCCTGCATTTATTCACTTGCTTTTCAGTGATACTATCCCAGGCAAATGTATTCATTCACTAGCCTTACCCTTCCTACAGAATATGCCATGGTTGATCCTCTCCACAGACAAGTATGTTATTCATTAGAATATCTGCCACATGATCTCATGAAATACCTGCTGGCATGGAATCTAAGCCTCCTTAGCAGACTAACCTTCTAGTAAGTTATCAGAAATGTATGAAAATAGGTTGATTAAATATGTAGAAAAAATATATTGATTAAAAAGTCTTAAAAGCATGGTTCATAGAAATGAAACTAAAGAGTTTGTGTTAATTTTATATAAAGATTAAGACTTCCAACTTTGAGTGGTTTGGAAAATGAGACTTTGAAGTGAAAACAGAATTTGATTGCCATTGCATAGCAGTGCTTGCTGGGAGATAAACAAAAGTTGGGTTAGGTGAAATGTGGCATCCTGTACAGATAAAGGCACTTTCATAAACATTCATCACATTGCCATTTTGTATTTTTGAGATGTGAGAATTGACATTTGTGAGAAGCCTCAAGTCAAAGTAGATTTTTTAAAAATTTGAATAATTTCAAAACTCTAAGTTATTTAATAATTACACATTTCTTTTTGCCAGTACAGATGCTTGACCAAAGATTATGAAAAGCGTCCAACAGTGTCAGATCTTTTGAAACATAAATTCATCACTCAGATTGAGGGCAAAGATGTGATGCTGCAAAAACAACTAATGGAATTCATCGATATTCATCAATGCCTGGGAAGCACAGAGAAGGCCAGGTAATTACACAGTACCTCGGCTTTCCAAAACAGAGTATCTCAAGATTCCATGAAGCTTTACTATGAAATAGTCACAGAAGAGAAAAGAACTTACAGGTTCTCAGTGCGACATGAATTTAACAGGATATTTGCGTGGAAGAAGAATGTCACCAGTCCAGTACCCCATGTTCTTGAAAATGCCAGCAGTGATTTTAAAATGACTTTATCAAAACAAAAATTATAATTATAACAGATTAATGGCGTTAGTATATATGATATAATTTATATACGATATAGTATATATAATAATATATAATATATGATATATATTAGTATAGATATTGATTTTCATGTGTTTACTGTTTTATGCAAAACTAGGCATCTTAGATTGGGAAGGGAATGTTGGGAAATGGGGTAGCTGCAGGAAGTTTCTGTCATAAGTCAACATCTGACTACTAAGTCAGGAAAAAAGCTGAATTATAATATTTTTAATTTTGCTTCTGAAAATAATGTTTAAAATACTCAGTTACCTCAGCTAATGAGCATAGATAAAAGACATAAGTAACATGCACTCTTCTAAACAACGCATGTCAGCTAATATGGAAAAGCAACTTAGTGAAATATGTGGGTATCTTGTAAGAACTGCGGTGGAGGAAAGGTCTGGCCTAGGCATGTAGTAACAGAATCAGGAACCCATCATCTTCCTCAAAAAATGTGTTCCTACCGAGGCACCGTCACCTGCCCCAGCACTGCTGCCTCTCAACACTCACAAACTGACTTTGAGCATGTCATCACTCCTCCAAGACTGGAAAGCTCACACGACCATCTGACTCTTCATGCCTTGGCCTCAGGCCTGTGCTCTAGTTAAAGTACATGACAGAAGTCACGTGGTGCACCTCATGTGTCCAGGGAGAGGCACAGGCCTACCCTGAGCCATTTGAAAACTCTCATTCCCAGAAAGATATTCTGAGCAGTGGACATAGTGGATGGACATCCATTATATCTACTTTCATACATATAATACATTATAGAAGTCTATAGAATATTTAGTTTCCTAAAATATTTCATGAACCTTGAACTTTTACCTAAAATATTATTTACAGTGTGATTTACATTCCTTAGGGGGTAAAGCTCAGCATCCACTTAAATCATAACAATTTTTAAAGTAAAAGGTCCTTTTGTGATATTAATAATTAGCATGTTTTTATATTTATATAATAATGAAAATTCAGTATTTTTCTTGGTAACCTCCATATTCTAGTGTTGGTTAATGTTGATGTATATAAATTATTATTCTGTACATAATTTCACAGAAGCACACAGGACTATGTCCCTGGTTATAGTTATATAAACAGAGTTGTTGCTTAGTCATAAGTACTCCTTGTCTTTGTGGCACTATGTTATCTGTCCCTCTTGACCCATAGATGCAGTTGAAGGCAGAGAATAAGGAAACGTTGAGACAACCGTCCAAATATTAATAAATGAAAGAACTAAAAACTTGCTTGACCGTTTAGTGCTACAGTACCTGGTTCAAGTTTTCAACTCATTATTACGTGTAGGACTTTAAGCAGTATAAAGTGACACAAATAGGATTCTAATTTTACAAAACAGAACAGTGGGCTAAGAAAGCAGGGAAATCAATAGAAAGTAACAAATGGTCTCCTTCAATGAGACATGGTTCCGTTTCACTTTCTGTTTTCTAGAGTGATAGTTATCTTCTAGGGATGTTGATGGTTGTGGTGGGGACTAGTCACCTTTGGGGACATTTGCCATCTTCCTTAGAAGATGAGACTTTAAACTGTAGTTTATGAGAGCATTCTGTTCAGTTCCCTTTGCCATGTGAATGTCTCGAGGAAAGTTCAAATTCAACATCTCCAAACTTGAAACTTTGCTACCTCAATCCTAGATTACTTCCTTGCCCCCTTCCTTCATAATATCACCACCCCCTCATCAATTATAACAGCCAAATCCAGAGATTACCTTGGTAGACTCTTCTACTTTCCATTTTCAATCAAAAACAAGACTCAGTTTCAGGGTGGGGCTGTCATTCATACCAATGTCAAACATGTTATTTATACCTTTGCTATTGACAAAATCACCGGTTGCTATGGTATCCTTATGGTCTCCACATTTACTGAAGCTGTTGTTTAAAGTTCTTGTGAAAGGTTTTATAGGAATATCTGACAGAAGAAGCCTTTTTAGAGTCTACTGAGGGGCTTACTCTCAAGTAGACAGAAAGGACATGCATGTAGATAACCATTATGCAAAGTAGCAAGCTTCAGCTCTATAAAAGAGTTCCAAATTATGTCTTGTGAAAGTCTAAAAGAAGCATTTTTTTTTCTAATAGGGATAGGAAACCTTCAAATAGATACTGCAAAAGATAAACTGCCTTGGTCTTGTGAAAATGGAGTTGCCACAAAATAAATATTATATGACTTGAGCAAAATCATGAGGGCAGGGTGTGCTCAAAGGACGTCATATACTATGCTCTTCAGTTCTGAAATAGAATTCGAGAGCTGTGGAGATCAGACAGCACTAAAATTCAGATAGGTTGAACCTGAATCCTTTGCAGCAGAAGGCAGTAGCCTGTCCTCACTTATAAATCTTATGTGTCCTTAGTTCTAAAAGTGAATAGTGCCTGTAATTTCAAATAGTGCTTGTAAGTTTATAGGCATCTTTTTTGTTAACCATATGGCATTTTTCTTTTTGTGGTTCTTCCTGACTTTAAGTTATTGCAATTTTTGGAGGCAGGGAAACTCAGTCCCTACTATTTAAATGTCTTTGGCTGGCACTTGACTTCCTACCATCCCTGCAGATTGTGGTAGGTGCAACCCTGGGGATGTCCAGTTCTCATTACAGGCACATGAGTCACAGGCCCTGGCTTAGGCCACCAGTGTGGCATCTCCATTCTCATGCAAGATTCACAAAGGTTGAACTAGGGACTCAGAAAGGCATATTTCTCTTCACCCTGTTAGTGTGTGTATTAATTCTATGGCTTTGGAAATGAGGTAAGAACTGTGAGTATCTCAGATTAGCAAAGATTTAAGAGGACACTTGTATAAGAACAAGACATAGCAGCATTTGCTTTTATTCAGCTAGGAATCTGTCAACTTCATTATTATAGCTAGAAGCAGTAGCTAGTTTAGAACAATAATAGAAAAGAAAAAAAAAACAGTTTACAGACAGACAATTCTAATATTAACAGTAGCTGGTGGAAAATCCTGAGTGTTCAAAGAATGATAAATTGCTTTTGACCCGGTATGTAGTTACCAAGCTGTGATGAGCAATTAGCAGCTACTGTTTGTGTATGTGGGCATTAGAAGTCTCTCAATTTATATGTAAATATATGGTATGGTAGTGGGTTCTCTTAAGTTGTTTGGAGGTAAGCAGCTGGATAAATATTGTCTTCAGGAGGTTTATGAGTATTTACTTCTAAGCCACACTTGATACATGTATTTGAGTAGGCAGGGAGAAGAAACATCAATATGAGCCTATAAATCTTTGACCACTGGAATTCCAAGAGTAAGTTATGCCGATGCCTCGAAACTGAGAGAAAGGCGACACACTACGTGCCTCTCTGTTGACTCGCTGCTGGGGGAAACGCCTAGTGGAGTGGGCATACACTCACACACAGATGCCACAGTGCACAGGCCCTGGATCGAGATCCTGCGTGGCCTTAAGATCCCTGTCAGAATCCACCACACCCTAGTGAATTTCCAAGGAAAAGTGATACAAGCCTAGAGTGTTATTTCTGGAAAAGAGCTTTTCATCTGCTCCTTCTTTTGGAATCTAGAAAAAAATGAATCCTGCTCCCGCCATAACTTAAGTATGACTTCCCAAACTGATGCTTTTCTGTATGAGCTTCTGTATTCTTTACCATTAGCATTGGCAGAGCTTGTCAATCATGACATGATGTCCAGTACTTTTTATTTTTTTGGTGTTTAGCTTCTTTGGCCTACCTTCTGTTGTTTATTCAGAATTAGAATTTAATCTTAACTTTAATTTGTCTTTGATACACTATAACTAGGGTTTATAATGCTTAGTAAGGTAGTCACTGATCAAATAATCTATATTCATACATTCCCTATGACTTTTGGAAAAACTTTACTAACTACAAAGAATGTTCTGACAACTAAGGTTAAAAATGGGCATCATCTACTGAGCGCATTTGAAAAACTCTAACTAGCAGTGTTTTCAAAGCAAAGACTCATGACCAAACCTTTGGCAGAGTACAGGGAATCATAAGAAAGAAGGGGAGTTAGTATGATGAGGAAAGGATAGGAGTTCCACAAGGACCAAACATATCTGGGCACAGGGTCTTTTCTGAGACTGACATGCAACCAAGGACCATGTATGAATGTAACCTAGAACCTCTGCTCAGATGTAGCCTGTGGTAGCTCAGTAACCAATTGGTTTCCCATAGTGAGGGGAACAAGGACTATTTCTAACAGGAACTCAATGACTGGCTCTTTGGCCTCCCCACCCCCCAAGGGAGGAGCAGTCCTGTTAGGCCACAGAGGAGAGCTTTGCAGCCAGTCCTGAAGATACCTGATAAAACAGGATCGGATGAATGGGGAGGAGGTTCCCCCTATCAGTGGACTTGGCAAGGGGCACGGTGGAGAGGAGAGAGGGAGGGAGGGACTGGGAGGGAATGAGGGATCAGGACACGGCTGGGATACAGAGTTAATAAAATGTAACTGATAAGAAAAAAATAAAATTAAAAAAAATGGGCATCATATTCACAGCATATTTGAACCAACTAGGATGGCATCATTTAGGTTAATTTGAATAACAAGCTGACCCAGGTGTTAATTGCCAACATGGTGATCATTTTCACTTCTGTGAGGAGGCTGGGACCATACCTGTGCTCTGTCTTCCTTCCTTCTTTCCTTCCTTCCTTCCTTCCTTCCTTCCTTCCTTCCTCCCTCCCTCCCTTTTTTTTCTTTCTTGCTTTCTCTCTTTCATGAAAGTTTAAATGGCTAAAATAATTTTGGTTCTACTCTAGGCAATAACTATTTCTT